TTTTTCCTGACTACACAGTAGATGAAACACGTTTGAAATCCAGATTTCTACCTTAGCAGATGATGACTTAGAATGTTGATTTCGATTTAAACCGCTTCTGTTAACATGATATTTCAGAAGCACATGATACATACATATACTCATTCATAGATATCTAATGCCATCTCCAGTAGTTAACAGGTATATTGAATACTATAGACATTAAACCCTACCCACTTGAATTGCCCTAAAATAGAGCGAATACTCATTTCAGACTGTTGAGTTGGAAGTACAGTGAATCCATAGTTCAACAGATGAAAAATCCTCCATATGTGAAACTTAGACCACACAAAATAAGTCAGAAGAGAACCTTTATCCTAAAGTTTTAATAACTTAAAATGTCTACTTTACATCTGTCATTTCTTGTCAGAGTGAGACATACAGAACAGTTCAGCTGTTCAATAATTACTAACTAATATGCTATTACTTGTAATCAATGATTTAGTCATTCAATTTTCATTATTCAGACAAGTCACGTAATTGGGTGGCATACTATAGCTTTAGATAGGTGTGGTTAATGTCCTACTTACTGGATATTAAAAACAATATCGCTGTTTTCATAATCTTTTAATTCCCACCATACATTTCAGTGTTTATCGAGAACGCTATTCCCCTACATTATAAACTTTGATTGTGTTGTATTTGTTCATTTATTGGTAAGGGGAAAACAATCACTTTTTTAAACCATGTTAATCACTGTTTGTTGATATACTTGTAATTGATCGCTGTTATACTGGATCGGATTATCCGACTTCTTTTAGCATATGGGCTCCTATGTGGATGCCTCGATATTGCCTGAATATTTATTATGATGACTCACTTGATTACGGCTGGCAGAAGAATCCAGGACGTGCGTTTCGTTCTGCTTGGGACTTGTCAGCTGGATGTACCTGCACTCCAGTGAGACTCGAACCTCGTACCAACTGCTTCAAACGCCAAAGCAATATCCACTATGCCACTCAGGCACTATAGCCACCTCTTGTACAAAGGAGATTAGTTATAACTAGTTGTTGATATACTTGTAATTCTCCGCTGTTATACTGGGTCAAATTGTTCGACTTCTTTTGGGATTTGGGCTCCTATGCACGTTTGAAGCGATGGGTTCCAGTTTCAGTAGGAACATCACTCATTAGGGTGACGGTACATCCAGCTGACAAGTCCAAAATGGAACGAAACGCCCGTCCTGGATTCCTCTGCTAGCCAAAACCAAGTAAATATCACCATGATATTAATAACTTTCTAGTTGTACACTTTATTCCTTCTCACCATTGGCTTTTGTCACCATATATATGTGTATAAATGTGGAAACTATTATCCTCTATCGTAGTACACAATTTAAAAAGAAAAACAACAATCTTCATTTCAGATTATTTTAGTAAGTTAAGGAAAAGTGAACAAGACAATATGTGCATGCAGTTCAATGTGTTAGGTAGTTTAGTTAGTTGGAGGTGATCGGCGAGAAACTGTACATGACATAGGTTTCGAGTTTATTAGGATTCCTTAGCAAGGTGTATCTGCAACCTCCATGGAACTGATGATCGACAGAGTATATATGTATATATATATATATATATATATATATATATATATATATATATATATATATATGCAAAGTCGATTTGTAAAGGGCACTTTACCTTCGCGAAGAAAAAGAATAAAACGCATTCGAAATAATCGTGCATTACAATAGGAAACTTAGTCGGTATTATATGGAATATATGATACCACAACAGTCACAACTGAATTTGATGGTTCACAGGACAATAGTGACATCAAAAAGAACGTTCGGCTTCAATTAAGAGTGACTTTAAAGGCAATTACTTAAATGACCAATTAGGCTTATTTATTTTTATGCAAAATTACCTTTCAAGCCAAAACGGAGAAATCCGATTGGCTATTTTACTGGTTGCTAAAGCGGTCATCAAGGTCACTCTCCAGTTAATCAACGGTCTACTCAAATTACCTCTCGAATAGGTTTTTTTTTTAAACAAATATTATGGAGCAGAAGAATGGAAATCTGCAGTCCGAATATAGTCCATTCAAAACATACTTGATAAGTTAATATCTCGTGAGTATTAGTAATGACATGCGCTTCACGTCTGATAGGAAGCGGTTTAAATCGAAATCAACATTCTAAGTCATCATCTGCTAAGGTAGAAATCTGGATTTCAACCGTGTTTCATCTTACTGTGTAGTCAGGAAAAACCTTATTAGACAATTTTGTTCTACAGCTGGCCAACCAAAATAAGTATCCAACTTATGACCTGATAAGTTTATTTTCTGAGGAAAACTGTAGATAAATGAAGTGATGTGTTTTTGTTAAATAAAGTGTCGCCTTCCTTGCAGTTAGGAGCCGGTTTTCATTTTCTGATTTTCGCAGCTCAGTGAAGTCTCAGGCCTGAGAGAGAAGAGTTGTTATTTGTATCCAGTTTAAGTGTCTCATTGTGTTAGTATCGTTCTCATATTTCGTATTATTCTATTAGTCAGTTCCACTTGAAACTCAGGATACCTAACAGCTCATCTTATCAGATAATGACTAAAGTGTTCTTTGCATTTGCAACAGTACCGTGTAAGTGATACTTGGATCGAGAGACGACTAAGAGTAAAACTTGAGCACTGTGGTAGAATGTAATTCGCTTTTTGTTGGTTGATTAAATGTATTACACAGTGGTAGAGTATTCACCGGATTACGTTTCGCACATAAAACTGTCCCACTGTGTGACATCTAATAAATAAACAAAAATGGAATGAGTGACATTTACTTGAACGATCTGGTGACAGTTGTTCAGTGCATGGGATCCTCATTTAACACAAGAAATTCGATGTCCCACATACACTGTTACATTAGGCAAAGAATGGGTTTTTGACTTCATGGAACAAGTTGAGAATCAGAGATCTCGCTAGTTTATGACACGATGTCATACACTGAAAGGTAGTTTCCCAACACCGACATTTCACGACTGGATTATGATAACCATGAAACTTAATAACTCTAGACATTATCGGACGTGACTCAGAATTGAAGATAGTGGAGATAACACTGGAGATTTCTACTTTTACTGGAATAGTATAATCTGAGTAAAAACTAGTGGAAGTTTTTTGGATGTAAGTGCTCCCTTTTACGGTCATTTCTGCTATTCTCCTTCTACATATCATCATGTCATTGCATTGGTTTGTGTGCATCTCTCCTAGTCATAGAGCTGCATCAAGTTTATGAACTCGATAGATGTGGACAATAACAGAATGATAAATACTAGTACATTGTACATAGGATGCAAACATTTCACAGACTTTACTGCTAGTCACTACCCTGCTTCACCTATCGAGGTTTAGGCAGCTAGGTAGTATCACTAGCTCTCACACAATAGGTGTGGTTCAGTGCCTACTGTACATATGTGCACAAGGTTGCTGAGTACGTTCACTTCACATAATCATACTTTGAGCATATGCAATAGTGTAAGGTGATAATATGGAATGATCAACTCAACAGGAAAGATTCTAATAACAGTGATAACAGTTGAACAAAAAATGGTTGTAATATAGCAAGAGTAAGTGAGAGATGATGGAAGCTTCTTTGTCGATAAACATCCAGCTCCAGATACTCTAAATAATATTTTATGGGATGACGCACTAGCCAAGTAGATAACGCTTTAACGTTTCAATAAATAACTGATAAAACACGATTAAGAAGAAATGCATTTTCTGGATACCACTGCTAATCAACAACCAAGCAGAATTAAAGTTGTCACCCATTTTTTAAAACAAGCCTAGAACAGATAGTTCGTTTTATTCAATCATGAACATGAGTGGGTGAATTTTTACAAAAACCTTGAGTTAAACTTACATTTGTTACATTGCATTGCCGTAATAATAATTTTAAGAAAAAACCAAATATAATAAGAGGGGAACTAACCAACTGAATAGACTTGTTCTGGAGTTAAACTGCGCCCAAATGATTTAGGCACTTTGACTGAACAATGAGTTCTTGTATCATAAACCTGTCAAACAAAAAAAGGTATCATATTTAAACTACTTATTAATCATTTTATGCGAAACGAAACGTTTTTTACCTAAGACGCTCGGTCACTATAGGCATTCATATATCGTGGGTGCACCACTGAAGAAAAGACTGTAAGCTTATGAAAGTGAAAGAGATACTTCGTAATTAAACTGAATTCCTTCAAAGATGATAGAACTACTCCTCAAGGTAGATTGGTGATCAATGGATTTCACAATTTCGGAGAAAAATATTTATGCATTATCTTATATTTAACAGATGTTATGAGCATTCAAGTGAATATCGAGAAGACAGAAGTGATGAAGATACCCAACCAACGATACCACCAACAACAAACTCCAATCACCACCAACGGAAGAAACTTAAAAAAAGTAGCCTCCTTCACCTATCTAGGAAGCACTGTTTCAACTACAGGTGGCACTGACGAGGATGTCAAAGTCAGAATCGGAAAAGCAAGACAGGCGTTCATTAGTCTGAAACCAGAGAGGAGATCTTCTGCACTCAGCATAAAGAAAAAGATCCGGATTTTCAACACCAACGTCAAATCGGTGCTTCTGTACGGCTCAGAGACTTGGCGCGTTACGAAAGGCATTTCCAACAAACTACAGACATTCATCAACAGCTGCCTACGCTCGCTACTGAAGATCAGATGGCCAGAAAGAATAAGCAACAAGGAAATCTGGCAACGAACCAACCAAGAACCTATCACCCAACAAATATGCAGTGGAAGAAAGTGGAGATGGATTGGGCATACAGTGAGAAGGCCGACTGGGGACATCACGCGTCAGGCCCTCGAGTGGAAACCCCCATGGGAAGCGACGAGTTGGGCATCCGAGGGTGACATGGAGGAGATCGTGCGAGGAGGAAATGAGAGCTTGTAGGCTATCATGGAGCCAGGTTCAAAAGATTTTAGAGGACAGAGCGCATTGGAGACGTGCTACTGAAGCCCTATGTTCCATTAGGAACCCAAGGGACAAATAATAATAAACATTCGAAACATCGACTATGTAAATGATACTATTTATGAAAACCTTAGCTTATCAATCTTGTCTTTATACAATGACGTGATGATTGAAACTAAAATGAAAACCTGGACCACAACAGGATTCGAACCAAGTGTCTTTGTTCTACCAGTACGGTGCTCTACCAACTGAGCTGTAAGACACAAATACTGACTAGGTCTTAACTACACTTTATCCAACCGGGGTTTTGATAAATTTTACGGATGCATAGACAGATCAACATAGCACCCTATCATTACTGCATAACGGTTCAAGTTGCCACACCTCATGCCAGCAAATCAAGCGAGAAAGTACTAGTACGAAAGATAAAGAAATGAAGAAGAAAACAATAAAAAGTGGTATAAGGCTATCAAAATAGAGCACAGAGGATTGAGAGAATACTGAAGTTCAGAATGGCAATTAAGATGAGGATAATATGTGGATACATTTGTGCCACTGGGGTGGATTCTGTGCCAACTCACATACAGTATCCAACCACTGATTTCTGTTTTCATGTGGACGACTATAAATGGGAAGTCTACATTTCCCCACACCGCTCACACCAATAGTTAAAGACTTCATGTGCTATATTTTTGTTTGGCCAACTCAAACCTTTTTTAAGCCTGAGCCTACTTTAATTAACACTGTGAGACAAGGCAGTTGGTGACTAGGGATGTCTAACATGTATCGCAGCCGCCTGAGCAGACAAAAGTTTACAACTTCATCAATTAACTTTCCTCTTTTCTTTAATCGACTACACTTGACTTCCAAGTTAACGACTTGGTGACATCACGACGTATGGCCTGTGCTATGAAGCCAGTAGAGGTTGAAAACATGAAGCTTTCTCATATTCTCTACCTTTAATGGTCGTATTTCACGACGAATTAGGACAGAGCGAACTGTAGCACGGCATACCTGATTCTTAATAGGCCATCGGATATCACAGTGGCGCCATAAATGGTGTAAGTTGGCGAAAGTCAGGCGAATCTTTTACACCCGTGCCAAAATTACGTCTGTCACTGATCCACCAGGGCTGATCCGACTTCTAAGGTAAGTTAAGTGGTTAACGCATTCAATCACTTCCTGTTAAACAAGGTATTAGTGAAGACCAGTTGTGGAGCAACAATTTGCATTCAAGTGGCTCGAAACTTATCTAGAAAATTCTCAGTGACCAGAAGACTGCATCTTGTCAGCGTCTTCACTTAACAGTAGCTCAACTAGACAGTCACCTATAGCAAGATCATCGTTGTGAAATCAGCCCATAAAAGAGAGGCCTCCATAAGCGTATCTGTAACGAAGATGAACAAGAATAGAGAGAGTAGGTGTCTTCAATGGAAACCACTGGGCTAGCACAGCTCAAAGGATAACTCACTATGGGCGTGTTAAACACGCCCAAGGGTATACGAGTACAGAGTTGTGCACTTACTCTGCAGGCCTTACAATGTAACTCTGCCATTAAAACTCTTGATCAGCGGAGTCAAGTGCCGCCTTCAGGTAGGGAAATATAGCTAGTGTTTGGTGTCAGTGCCTGTGTTCCATGGCCTGGCGCGGAGGGTGGTGGTCAGTACACCTACGACCGCTTTGAAATCTGTTTGACTTTTAAAGGTTCACTGTTCGTGAGCTTCGCTTAGGCATCTTATGATAGCAAAACCTATAATCGTCAGATTGATTCCTGTGGTTATCCCAAGAGATCTTCTTACTTTTCTTTAAGACTGGGACATTCAGTGATTGGGACCAGTCACAGGGGACTATAGCTGACTTCTATACACTAATTAACAGTTGTTGATTTGACCAAGAATCCTCAAGAACCAACCGTAAATACCTCCGGTATCAATTCGTCTGGCCCTGTTGACCTGCCTCGTTTCAGGTTGCTTATGGCTTTCTCGACTTTTGCAAGAGTCGAGGATCCTACCTCGATGCTCCATTCAGGATCCAACTGGATAGCAAGCAACGGAATACTGGCTGGAGGTCAGTTGAACTGTTCCGTCTACCGCTCCAGTCGTCTCCCATGCCAGTGAATCACAGACCCATCCTTCTCCGCTATAGTCTCACTAACCATTGACTTTTATGCTCCTATTTACTTGATCACAGCTACCTTTTCTATCTCTAATCTTCTCTGCCCACCACTGACCGCAGTCATTGCGTAGAGTTTTGTCAGTCTACATCTGGTTCGCTTTTGCTCTTCATTCAGCTCGAAGGCTGCAGGAATGTGCTTGTGTGCATCAATTAGTTCAGAAGAAGCTGCTGAGGTCTACTGATCATTTTTGGCATTTTATGAGGGTCGATTACTATCTTTGATGCTGTTTTCACAGCAAAGTCGAGATGGCACCAAAAGGCTTCAGGATGAGTGATATTTTTCTGTTCCGATAACTGTCTAGCCGGGTTTTTATTGAATGTAGGGTTAGTAATCTCATCATTGAGCTACGCTGAGAATGGTCTTATTGCTGTAGTTTTTCTACGTCATCTTGGCGCAGACAGACGCGCGCTTAAACCAACGCATGCTCATTTTTTAAATACATACTCAACGAAAGGGACGCAATCTTTCACCGACTTTCTTCAGCCATAGGTGGTTGTAGTATGGTCTATGAGTATCCACCGCTGAGTTGAGGTCGGTGGACAATTACATCCACAGGATTCTATTCAATCTAAGAATTGATGATTGCCACTATTCGACTGGTCATGTAGGCATGCATACAAGGTTGTAGAGCAGTGACTTACTGGAATTGGGACTCAACTAAAAAACAGTGAGTTCGAATCCAACTCTATCTAATCAGGTTTGAGCAGCCAAGTTATGTTGTTAGTTGTCATACAATAGGTTCAGTTAATTGCTTACTGAACGAGAGTTCAGCTGATTGCTCATTGCCATTTGATTTTTTCTTAGCATACAAAGTTGAACGCTAGAAATCGATTTCAAATCAACTGTACACGAATGGTTTGTCAAGCGAGATATTGTTAACGACGGTATCGACAAAATGGCAAGTCAAACCACTAAACAGTATTACAACATGCATCAATTTTAGATGGAAACATCAATCAGTACAATTTAGATCCGTTGTCTATGGCCATTATGTTTGCTGTGAAGTCTCAGGATTCGGTGGACAAAGACGAACAAAACAACAAAGAAGAATCTTGATATAAAAGTGCGATGCTGCAAATGTCGACACTCTTTAAAAACACAAAAATGACAAATCAGTAGTAAAAATTGAAATAAGCGAAAAAGAAATAAACTGAGCAAGAACAAATAAATAAAAAGTACTGAGACATTCAAGATTTTTAGGAAGATACAAGGTGAATACAATTGTATCATTGTGATCAATTTTCAGCTATTCCACTGAGATTTTCAACCATAGATTTCTGATACCTTTACGATCTAGCAAAATAATGTACACTTCCACAAACCGGTCAGATTAGCAGTCGAAGACTTTATGGATCGGCGTAAAATCTTGGTTTGATCAAAGTCAATCACTAAGAAAATGCTAATATATTACAACCACGTTTTAAGTGAACAGACAGGTAAAATCACCGTAGAACCTCAGTCAGTTTAAGTTGCAACACTTTACGGTGGTATGCAAAGAACAAATGGATAGAAAAAGATAGGTGTTAAGGACACGCAAACACCAGTTACTATCTAGAAAGGATAAACTTTATTATCTACACGTTACATAAATGTAGATTAAGAGAGAGTTACTTACCTGCATACCAGATAATAGGAAGCCTAGTTTACGACGCCATGCATATTTAAACTGCTCTCGAGCAATCTTGTCTTCAGGAGAACCAGGAAAATACGTGACTGTACCCATCTTGAAATCACATACATTTGGTTGTTTAAAACTAGCTACCAGATCGGATAAACCAATGTAGTAAGCTAATATATACACCATGAAGATAAAAACCAACAAATTAGAATACAAACAAACGAAAATATATGTAACCTTAGCATTGAATGTAGTTTTATTTGAAAAGTGCAGTTATTTACTACGTCTCGATAGTATGGAGGTAAAAAGAAGTATTCTCACCGACCATAACACTGCAATGAAATTGATTTAATAATAATAATAACAATAATAATAATAATAATAGTGATAAACCACCTTATTTCACTAGTTACTAGCTGGTCATAAGCCCGGATAAAAAGGGAAGGTTGGGCATACGGCTAACAACCCTACCCCAGAAAACCAATTCAATCGCTAAAGAAACTTCAAAGCACAAATAAAATATAAAACGTAAAAACAAACTTATTCCTCGCTGGAATCGGGGGGACGAAATGACGCCGGTTGGTCAAAGCCTTCAGCAAGACAATTAGGCGATGTGTCTTCTCCTCTCTCGATGAAAGCGAAGGTAAACATAGGGACATGGAATGTCCACACCATGTTTGAAGCTGGATGGCAAGGCTGCCCAGATTGCAAAAGAGATGAGAAGGTATAGCACTGAAGTGCTTGGAATCTGCGGAAGCAGGTGGAACGGAAGTGAACTCTCCAAACTGTCAACTGGAGAGTCAATAATCTACTCCGATATTGTCACCCAGACGACAACCACAAGCACACTGAGTTTTCCAGTGGCTATCATGATATCTCCAAGAACATCGAAGACTCTCATACAGTGGGAACCAATCTCCTCCTGCAGGATCACCATCGTGACAGCAAGATTCAATTCAAAGGAAGGAAAGTCACAATCATACAATCCTGCGCTACGCTATGCACCTACAGATTTCACCGATGGTGATTTATGTCTAAGGTTGCACAAACTCGAAGAGCTATAGGTGAAAACCAACAAGTTGACAGAAGAGACAGAAAAGATGGGACTACAAACGAATGTAGAGAAGACAGAGGTACACAACCAACAACATCATCAACAACAAGCATCAATCACCACCAAAGGAAGAAACTTAAAAAAAGTAGCCTCCTTCACTACCTAGGCAGCATCGTTTCAACTACACGTGGCATAGATGAGGACGTCAAAGCCAGTCACGATCGGAAAGACAGCAAGACAGGCCTTCATTAACCTGAAACCAGAGTGGAGATCTTCTGCACTCAGCACAAAGCGTGAACAACATCCGGATTTTCAACGCCAACGTCAAGTCAGTGCTTCTATGTAATGCTTCAGAAACTTGGGGTGTCACGAAAAGCATTCCCAACAAAATACAGATATTCGTCAACAACTACCGCCTACGCCCACTCGATACTGAAGATTGATTAGATGGCCAGAAAGAATAAGCAACAAGGAACTCTGGCAGGCTGGCAACGAACTAACGAAGCAAGAACCTATCGCCCAACAAATATGCAGTGGAAGAAAATGGAGATGGATTGGATTGGGCATACACTGAGAAGACCGACTGGGGACATCACGTGTCAGACCAGGCCCTTGAGTAGAACCCAAAGGGGAAACGACGAGTTAGGCTTCCGAGGGTGACATGGAGGAGATGGTGTGAGGAAGAAATGAAAGCTTCTGGGTAGTCGTGGAGCCAGGTTCAAAAGACTGCAGAGAACAGAGTGCAATGGAGACGTGCTACTGAAGCCCTATGTTCCACTAAGAACCCGTGGGACAAATAATAATAATAATTTAGGCTTGAGCAAGTTTTATACGATGCCTAAAATTCATAGGCTAGTAAGCAAACGTAGATACGGTTAATACCATGCATTAGTGTATATGACAGCCTGTACGTGCATAACCTTTCTTATCTTACCGCCCTACGTCTTACCTGAGCACTACTATGTATTTTCACTAAACGCTTGCAATTCTATACAGATATCTATAACTAAAGACCAATGGTTTTTACATATAAGTCACTGTCCACAGTGATGCCTCACAGCACACTACAGTTAAGTAATTGCAAAAAAATAAATGCTATTAGCAATCACTTTCTTACCTTTAGTTGATGGGCATTGAAATATTCCATGATAAGTTGGAATGTAGTGACGAAGAAGTTTAAATGCCTCTGGAGCATCCGGTGAAAATACACGTTCATAGAATATCACTTCACGCATCCCTCTGGAGCAATCTTGTAATGATTTGTACACAAATGGTCTAGATTTATCCCTGAGTACTGAGAGAGAAAGTGTGTAAAAGTACATTACGATATGACGAAAACGAATCAGTATTAAGCCAATAACCTCTCCTTAGGAATGTTTGGAGTAAAACTGTAATTCATTAGACTAGAAATACATTCGTCTTTCAGCCACTGTTACGGATTCAAACTCTATGGTATCTACTGAGTTGGTTTACATAGGTCATATAGTATTGCAAGAACTTTGGCTCACTGGTCTAGGAACTCGACTTCCAACCTATGGATCATGAGTCAGAACCTCGCTCCATCCCACTTACCGAGATCTGAGCAGTCAGGTAGTATTACTAGCTCTCACATACTAGGTGTGGCTCATTGCTAACTGCACGAGTGAGCATTTGGTTGCCGAGTGCATTTCTTCTTACTTTTCTATTACAACCCTTAACTAGTGAATGTGGCGCACAGCCTAATATATAGGTAGGTTATTGAATTGGATTATTTTGTTTTGTTAAATAAAAATCTTGGCAGTTAGAGTCATTATTTCTTTTAAAAGCTAAAAATGAATATTTAGAAAACCTTTAATAGGATCAGAAATTTATAAACGTCAATAGTGTATAGATATAACTCCATGATTGGAATATGGTTGTTTGTTTACGACAAAACCTACAAAGTTTGTCACGTAAAACTATATACTGACACGTATGCATTTCTTAGTATTTCATTTTTTTCTTTGTCACAACAGAGAAATAGATGATAGTGAAAAGTTATTCAAACTATTTAGGATAAGACTATGCAAATAACATTACGAATAGATAACGATGTATATTTGAGTGATTTAGATAAGTACCATTTACGTTTCACCACGCCTCAAATACCGTGTCATAAAAATTATGTGAGAGTAAAAACTTTTCAAAACAGTTACGGATTGAAACAAAATTTTAGCTAGTTTTTAACGAATACGTGAATAAAGTTTTTAAAGATTTATAAGGGTGAATAAAACTACGCTGTTGTGATTAACTTTCGTGCAGTAGGCAATGAGCCACACCCATTGTATGACAAGCTAATGATACTACCTGGCTGCTCAAACCACGGTAGGTGGGGTTGTGCTCCAACCCATAGCCTATTGGTTGAAAGTCAGGGCCCTAAACCAATGGGCCATAACTCCATATGTTATTATAGTCCTTAGTAAACTAGAGACCAATGGCTGGAGACTGTGTAGTTTATAGTATCCAATCATTGATTTCTAGCGCACTGCGGACTCCAGCCAGGAAACCTACACTTTTTTTGCAAGGAAGATCAATAATTTGACAGACTTTGGTTTGATAACCTTCAGCTTTTTTCCAGCCTCACTTTACTCTACCTATCAGATAGAGAGTTCCTCAGCATTCATGCACATGCTCGGTCAGTGAATGTTCGAAAATCTGTGTTTCTGTTACTTATGAATTATGTTCCAAAGATATATAAAGGGACATCTACAACTTTTTCACGTTATCCACTTTCAATGGTTATGTAATACTGAACGACCAGCTGTAAAGTATACTTTCGATTTTATGTATGAGGTAGTTTTGCTGAAGATAAAAACAAGTCTTTTGCATTTGTACTAAGATTGCGTCACTAATCAGCCTGTTAGGACTAATGCAACTCTCCGGATAGGTGAACTAATATCACTCTCTGTTCTTAAGCAAATCCACCAAAGACATTTGGAAAACCTTGGATAATCTTCAATTAACAAACCTAAGCTCAATCCATTTCAAATAGAATAGATCAATATTGAAGACGCTACAGGTAAGCAATCATTTCTATGAATGTCTACAATCGATATGTGAGTTCGAAAAATGCTTTTTGGCAAAACAGTGTATTATAGATCCTTTCAAGATCAGACACTGCTAAAAAACCTTTCGACTGGAAGAATGAAATACCTTTTCACGCCAGGGAAAACGACCAGTGTTGAGTATGCCTATGGTTAAGAAACTAAAAAAAAATCTGAACAATGCACACTTTTCCAGGACTGAAACCTATCTGGTTTTCTGTAGTTCATTTTACCCCAGCTTTAGGTATCAAAGCAGTAAAGGTTGATACGAGTTTACAAATTACCATAAAAACTAGTGAATTCAATTACTCAATAAGTATTTTTATTCCCATTCCTAAGGAATTATTGGTATACACAGTTAAGATTTACTGTATTACAGCATTTCGCATTTGCTACCGCCTCCTCAATATTACGGATGTATTCCGTCTTCGCTTGATGGTATGCAACCGAAGAGTAGCTGCAGGTCAGTTCAAATTTTCCTGCTACCATATTAGCTAAGTGTCTAGAGCTGCTAATTTAGACACTATCGATATTCGATTGAGAAACAAGTGACTACCGAAGCGAAATTGTGAGAAACCTACATCTATACTGGTCGAGTGAAGCAGCATACAGACACTAGGTCTGACGTTCATATCTGACTTCACACAAACAAAACGTTAGTTGGTAACCAGAACGCTAAAATCACTAGTAATGAATATGGAAATAACTATTTCAGAAACAAAAAAACAACTGCAGAATTAAATCTATCGAAATAGTCAGTCAAATGAAGTATAATTATAATATGCTCAAGTAGACATATATATAGAAAACTTACTTTCAAAGTTACCTGAATTTTCCCGGGAATGACCGGCAACCTGAAATGCATACGGTTCTGTACATGCAGGTAAGGGTAGAATATCACCAAACACCATGGATGAATTTGATATGCATACAGTTGGTTTGATGACTGTGCTACAAAGGTATGATAAATTATTTGAGATAATTAAAGAAAAAGAGGCCTTAAAAAAGGCGACAATAGATTCTTTTAATAATAAAGGGGGTATGGCTTATTGGCTTAGGTATAGAAATACCTAGCAATGATTCCCGAGTTCAAGTTCGATGCCGCCTGCATCGGCTCAGAGAACCATGTAGTAGTATAAACTTTGGCGCAATTAGTTTAGCCCATAGTCTAGTGAGTAGACTTTTATCGGGTTGAGTCCTATTAAATTTGTTTACTAACAATAGTCAGAAATATCAATAAAAACGACATAGGGCAGAATATAGGTTTAAAAATGGGCCTTTTCTAATCCCGTCTTATTTACAACAGAAGTCAGCACTGCTGAGAGTTGTTACAGTGACAAAGGTATAAGCTTTATATTCATGGGTGATAACTACTGGGAAATTTAATTACTTTCTAGGAATATCTACCGACAATTAGATTCACTTAAACTTTATCCTGGTAACTAAAAGTGAAGCCATGACTCATTGGTTTAGGGAGACGACTTTCAACCAATGGGTCATAGAATCGAACCACACCCAACCTATTGAGGTTTAGGCAGCCAGGTAGTATCACTGGCCCTCACACAACAGGTTTGGCCTATGACATAATTGAGGTGATATTTAGAAAAAAATAATTTTGTACTTTGTAGCACTAATTTTTGTCTGATGAGTTATAACTGTTATTTCAGTTTTAATTTTTCGAACGTTTTTTCATTGTGAAATGTGATCTAGTTTGCTCATAAAGTAACTGTCTTTTCATAACTATTTAGTTCTGGTTCCTATATCCATTCACATTTTATCAAAATGAGTCAATGTATGTTACAGTCGTAAGTACCTGTTTGGTTACATCATTAGTTTTGCTAACCAACAACAGCTGCCTATAGTTTTACTGATTGATTCAGCTTTCTTTAAGTTGTAGCATTAAAAAACATAATTGGACCAGCATAACCTGAACCGTTTGGTGTGAAACGTGAAACCGACTATCACCACTATAGTAAGTATTGAGTAATCTACATGTTTTCACATTGTTTGATTACCGGGCTGAACTCCCGACACACCAGATGTGTCAGCACTAAGTACTTACAGGAAATAGAACACCATACAGCCATCTAGGCGATTTAAATAATCACTCCTCAATCAATGGCGTGCAAATGAAACCTCATCGAGGTGATCAATTTCGGCTTCTGTAAGCGTGAGGTTGAAACTACAGTTCAAACAATTTACCTGCATTGCTTATCGAAGTATGTTTTTAAGCACCTGTGAAAATTATTAATTGGTATAGTTACTTATTTTTCAAATATTCTCGCATATACTGTTTTTGCGAATGTGTTGGAAGAACAAAAATAGCACATAACAACTATCTGTTCATTAATTATGGTACTCCCTTATCTCAGGATAAGAACGATTAAATATCGATCTATTTAGAACACGTCTCCAGTTGAAGAAATAACAGCTGTGACACATCAGTATGGATAGCCAACTTTCTGCCGATGGGTCATGGGTACGAACTTCACCTTACCGACCAAGGTGTCAGCAGCCAAATATCCCTGATCTTTACAAAATGAATACAGTTTATCGACAAGTGAATGAACCAACTAATTCCCTCAGAGACCATATGCATTTCCATGCACTAGGTCATGGGACACACTTATTGAGTGAGGTCCTTGAAAACTCCTATTATAATTTAAAAGATAAACGAACAAGCAAAATATTCTTATCAATAACTTTAGTTCCCACACTTACATGCCCATATTATGAAGTTCTGAGGTTTCCTTTAACAGTCTGTTAATAATATTAAACAATTAGGGAATTGTCTTCCGAAAAATCTTGTGCTAACGGCAATGTTAGAACCAATTATTCTCGAAAATTCAAAAACAAAAGGCTACAGGGAAGATCATTATCTATTCGACGACTAATTTTCACAGCTATATATCTGCAAATAGATGTGTAAAATGATAGAATATTCCAGACAAGTTTCCCGTCAAAGGTCAAATCGAGTCGACAGATGTATGTAGGGAATGAAATGATATTACGTAGCATAAGACATGATATCAACAGTTTTTATAAGATGCATTGAATAGTAAGATTTAGTATCTAGTAAAATAAATAAACATATAAAGAAATATGTGAATAGACAAATAAAATACAAAAATTAAAAATAAACAGAGGTGCAGAGTATCCGTTTAAGGCAACGGTAAAGTAAGTGTTAGTACATGCTTCTCTTAAATACACAACTGAGGCTTGAAGCTTCGAATTTCGTAAGCTTCGGCTGTACATAAGTGTTTAATCCTCACTTCTTTTGAATGGTTTAGTAGAACTTAGTGAACAGCTTTCAACAAAGTTTTCAGGGAAGTCAGATGTTCAAAGTCTACGAGGCGTCCAATGATGGAGCTGGCGATGATTTTGTATTCACCCTTTAGCAACCGAGCTGGATAACGTTCGTGAGCGCATAGTACGGTTGATGTACTCAGCTCCACGGGAGCAAGTGAGCTTGTGAATACACAGTGATGAGGCCCAATGCTTCAACTCGCCTTTCAAGCACAGACAAATCAGCTGTTGACATGAGAACACAGTACGGTTTGCAGCATAGAATATTCTACTTCAGTACTCTGACAAAGGATGTCCGTAGCAATATTACTTTTGAATCTGAGGTTCATTAAAAGTAATTTCTTCGGAGTTGATTGAATCTGTCCCATAGTCTTCTTTTCCTCCCCATTTTTCTTTATGAATATAAATAGGTGAATATTCTCTGACAGCATTTCTCGCAAGGTTTCTGATTCTTGAATAAAAGTATAATCACTGAATATCTTTCTTTTTTATAAGAGTGAGCGCACGAGATTCCTTCTCCTACTTAAAGGTATCAAACTGTGAAAGTTGGTCAGTTTCCTGTTCTAATTGGGTTTCCTGTAGATGGATCTTTGAATAGGATTGTCGTACCTCCTTTGGGGTTTGACGTCAGGAAAACAGAACGTCAAGTTTGATTCAGCTTCCGGTGTAAATTTGACTGGATAGTGGCTGTTATTGAAATTTTGAAGGTGCGTTAGGAGTCCAGGTTTTCATTTCAAACAATGGTATCGTTCATGTTTCTTTTATATACATGAAGTTGGTCGATTGTTGGGAATAATGTACTATTCTCAAGGCTTCATGTCAACATTTCCAGTTCGTTTCTTAATGATGCTGGTAACGTATTCGCCAAATTAATTTCTTTCTTCTGTCGATAATATATAAAGAACGCAGGGTATCTGTGGTATGTTGAGTTCGAGTTCTGCTAATCGAGAATGAACAGGATCTATAAGATTCAGACTATGTAGTTTCAGAGTTCGTGAGTTGGGAGGGATATGGTTACGGTGAAGATTCTTCTAAAACATTTTTGGATACTCGCGATCCTCAGTACACTTCTTGAAGAAATAAATTCTCGCATTTGCGTCGGTTAGCTCGATGTGAAAATGCAGCAACTTATCTAGTTTCTTAACCACCAAAAAGCCCTTGCAATTCCTTAAATGATGAAAAACCTCATTTGGTGATTGGAAAACAAAAGGAGGTTACAGCGAAAATAATTGTCTTTTTGACGAGGAGGTTATCGAAAAGAACGTCCTCCATTGTTTGAGGGTTAATGATTCTACCTCACTGCTTAAATAACCGTGGCTACAGCGGGATTCAAATACTCACGGGTTGATCAATGAACCAGAGCTTGATGAACTTGTACATGATTTGTGAGTAAATGTAAGGCCACTTTTCTGTCATATGACAACTTCATATCACACAGAATGGGTGGACTCGAAACTTTCACAAAACTATTAAGTTATCTATATATGCCGGCGACATTAATAACTGTTACGACCGTGACTACTCTGATGGCCTATACTATTTTAGTAAGAGTAGAACTAAGGTACTGCTACACTAAAATTCCATATTAAATAAGTTTACTTGATATAGCATGTATGACGAAATGGTGCGGAAAAAAAGAAGGAAAACTCACTCAACCACCTCATGCACATCCATGTAGCAGGTAATGAGCCACGCCTGTTGTGTGAGGGCTAGTGATACTACCTGGATGCCCGGACCTCGGTAGGTGGGGCGACGTTTAAACCCGTGACCAAATGGTTGATAGTCGATAGTCATCTCCTTAAACCACTGAGCCAAAGCCATGAAATGTTACTGAGGAACTATACGCAAAAAGACCAAAAATCTACCCCTGGGGTAGACGGCTGGCTATTAACACTAGGCATTGTGTTACTTTAGTTTTAAAACACTCATTACACTTTCCATTATCTTACTTTTTGTTATTACACTGAAAAAGAGGAGAGAACTGCTGGAATGTAGCTCATTTTTAAACCTTCAGACTACCTTACCTTCTCACTGAAGCAATTGTGACTAACGCGAATTGATCTATTGCAAATGTTAGCGCACTATGTTTACCAAGTCATCAGCTGAAATTTTCTTGTTGTTTCCTTTTAGATTGTCAAGCTGACTGAATAAACTATCACCACCAAAATTATGCATGCTCTTTTAAACAATAATCCAATAGCGAGTTCGATGAAAGTCTACCAACAGGTGATCGTTATATCATAATTACACAGAGTTTCACAATGGCTCATATTATGACTGTTATACGAACAAAAAGTCCATTGGAGACAGACATAAAAAAAGCGGTGCATTGATTTAAGTTGCCACACCAAAATAACGGGAGAAAATAATCGGAAATGGAGATTTTCAGCACACAAAAAACTCCATTCAGGATGTATCAACATATAACTACTACTTAGGGAAGTCGCTCTCCATCATTAGGTGGAAATCACATCGGTGTGAACAATTGTGTCAGATACCTGAGAAATAAAGTCCATAGTCTTAGCAGATCTAAACGACAAATTAGTAGATAGACAGTAATGACTGCATCGTTTAAAAAGGATAATAAAACGAGTCTATGCTTATCGGTACACAACGTTTTTGATGTGATCTAAGTTCCATACGAACTGGAATTTTACTAAGATACATGGAAGTAACCCGACTGGTAGCTGCT